AATGGTATGGTTTAATTTTACTATTTTTTAAATAAATTAAAGTAATTTTTAAAATATTTCATTAATTGACAAGTCAACTATTTTAAATAAAATTCCAGCTTACTATTTTTAAATTTACCAAACCACCCTTTTATACAAATATATATATAACAATTTTAATAAGTATTAACTAAAGCTAATCTTATTTTATTTTATGTTGAATATAAATTTTTAACACAATATCATTTAACTTTATCTTAAATAGACAAATCATGAGAGATGCTCGTGTGCCACGCGCTTCCTTAATGCCATAAATAAAAAATAATCCACACGTGAAGCACGAGTCCTATTTTCAGTTTTCCAATCCACGCCTGACACCTCAAATACTGATCACATATTCCAAGGAGTCAAAGGGACCACATGAACAAAAGTAAGGTATTATTCTTAATAATAAGATTTATTATTTACATATTCTAACTATTAGTTAATTTTAATATTATTACATGGCATCAATAATCTTTTTATTATCTTTTGTCTGAATTTATTTTTATTTCTTTTGTTACTCTATAAATAAGGGTGTTTGATTGATGAGTTTGAGGGATAAGAATGATAATAATAATTGAAGTCGGTGGATGTTATTGATGCGGAAACAAATGGAACATCACCCAATCAATAATTGAAGTCGGTGGTTATTCTTTTTTACGGTTATAGTTATACAGTAGTGTAACTAGGTTATGAACACTTTGGCTGTACTTAATATTTTATGGTTGAATTAAAATGTATCTATGCAAGTTGTGTAATTAAGTTACGACACTTTAGCTGGCTTTACTTACTTACTTTTGTACGGTCGAATTAAAATATATCTATACAGTTGTGTAATTAGATTATGACACCACATTCATCGGTAGATTAACTTTAATCCAAATATGATTTTAGTTTTTGATTTCTTGATAATGCACTTCAAACAATGATTAAATTACAGTTTGTTCGATTTTATTCATCTTATTCTCATTCACCTCATAAGGTCGATATATATTTTTTTAACCATCAAAATTTATAGGTGAAATTGAAAATAAAAACCGAATTAAAATAATCGAAGCTTCAAAAATAAAAACTGAAAATTGTCTTATCATTATTTAAATAAAAAAGCACCGCAATTCATATTTAGATCAAGTATTTTGGTTTTACCTAACACTGTACATCCCTACACAAGAATTTGCGAATTTATGTCAGTTTTATACTGGTATTGTGTTGTACACACTAGTATATACGCAAATAATTAAAATTAAATTCACGTGCTATTACCGCACAAAGATTCAAAAATATTCAACCAGTGTGTATCATACCTTAATTTAATATGTTAATTAGATACATTAAAACATAATTGGTAACTCAATGCTTCACATCATTTCACAGGTAGACTAGAATGTCTGGGTTTTATTATAGTTTCACCTTTAAAGACAGAATCAAATTCCCCTCAATATTGTGTCTGTCAACTCTCAAAAACACAACAAACAATACTAATAAATTCCCACCAAATTTCTCCTATATAAACATACCATCTACACTTCACTACACTACACAAAAAACACCAAAANTTTTCGAGCCCATGCGCCACCTCACCCTTGCCGCCCCACCCACCACCGCCCCTTCCCTCTGCGTGGCCGCCTGCGAGCTCGTCGGCGGCCGCCGCACCCTCTCCCTCGCCGCCGCCGCCGCCGTCCACCTCATCGCCGCCGCCGCCCACATCCACCAAAACCTCCCCCTCACCGACCGGCCCAATCCCAATCCCAGACCCAATGTCAATCACATTTACGGCCCAAACATCGAGCTTTTAACAGGGGATGGGATTATCCCTTTTGGGCTTGAGCTTCTGGCCCAATCGATGGACCCGGCTCAAACCAACCAGGATAAGGTGCTTAGGGCGATAATCGAGATCAGTCGGGCGGGTGGGGCCCACGGGATTGTGGAAGGGCATTATCGGGAGCTCGATTCGGAGGAGTGGGAAGAAAATGTGTGTAGGAAGAAAGAAGGGGTGCTTCATGGATGTGGGGCGGCTTGTGGGGCGATATTGGGAGGGGGAAATGAGGAGGAAATCGAGGGGTTGAGGAGGTTCGGGATTTACGCGGGCACGATTAGAGGATTACGGGCCTCGAGTAAAAACGGGCCTGGAATTGAAGAAAAGATTCGAGGTTTGAGGGATTTGGCGATTAAGGAGCTCGAGATTTTTCGAGGGAAGGAGCTCGTCGAGGTTGTCGCGGGCCTTTGTTGACACGACTGCTCGGAATTTTTACTGTTGGATCACACGAACAAATTTCTCACACAAACACATACACATATGGGTGTGTGTGTTTTGATTTATGAGAAATCTTTTCCCATAATGTTTTTGAGGAATATTGAGTTGATTTTGCAGCCATGTTGTTTCAATGTTGATGGTGGAAAAAGTATTATCCTAAAGACTTGCTGACATCATAACAGAAAACTGTAGCAGCAAAGTCAAGTGTGTATTAATAGAGTATATATCTGCATAAATAAGGGGAAAAATCTAATATGCCCTCTAGAACAATCAAGTTTCTTTTCCTTTTCAAGGCATAAGTATGTAAATTAATACAAACTTTGTGCTATTTTCAATCAGCTTTTTTTTTTTTATACATGTCATGATGTCACCTGCTCTTTATGTCCAAATCATCTTGTCCACATCATTTTTACATGTAAGAAAACGCGTTTTTCAACCATAACCATTAACCAATCATCTCTTTTTTCTCACCTACTTTCAAAGCAATAGGGTATTGTACTTTACTTGCACTGTCTCACCTAATTTTAAAGCAATAGGATTTTGTAATCTGTCGGGCCTATCGTGGACCGACCATTTTGAATCGGACGGTTTGGATTTTCCTGCAAAAGTTGAGGGGAGAAAAATTGGAGAGCGAACGAGGGAGGGAGAATCGAAATCAAGAGAGATTTCACAGCAACTCAAATTGTAATATATATTGAAAAATTTTTGCCGGAGAATGTCTTGATCGGAGCTGAAATTGCATCAATCAAAATTCACTTCTCTAGCATCTTTTATGCGAATCTGCTGATGGATCCCTTGCATTCTCTTGAGTTGAAATCATAGAGACACAGACAACTTGCAATCAATGTCATTGCCATCAAACAACAAAGTCGATCAATAATCGATACTTAAGAATCACAAAAACACAGACTAACTTGCAATCAGGTCATTGCCATCAAACAGAAAGTCAAGTAAGTTAATAATCATAAAAGCCTCAAGAAAAATTCTTCCCTTTTAAGGACCTCCCATAACATTTACTGCAACCGAACATATGTTATTACAAAAGATGAAAAGAATCATCTTTAGCAACCCGAATATTGCCAAATCAATTAACGACCGCTTTATTATCATCCCAACATGCACAAACTTCTACCTCTCCATATAAAATTCAAACTAATGCCTTCCGACCCAAAATCCAACCCCCAATCTCCGGCCACAAGCATAAGCTACTATTCAGATCTCCAACTATAAACAACCCAAGAAAAGAAAAAATAATAAATCAAACCATAATCATCATATGGGGATACTGCTGACAAGCCTAGCTCCAACTCTATCAAGCTTCTTGATCATGGCCATGGCCTTCAAATTTCCTTCCTTGAAGAAAGCCTCCACCATTCTCTCCCCAATCTCTGCACCCTTTTCTTCATCATCAGTCACGGCCACTGCAGTTGGGCCGGCCCCACTAATCGTGCACCCAAAAGCTCCGGCCTCAATTGCAGCCCTCTTCACAGCTTCCATGCCCGGAATCAGTGGGGCCCGCCTGGGCTCGACAATCTTATCCGAGGACAGGGCTTTCCCTAACCCAATGAGGTCTCCTTGCAGAACAGAGGCAACCAGAGCTCCGGCCTGGCTGCAGTTCCAGATGTGGTGGGACATGGTGATTTCCGGCGGAAGTGCGGCCCTCATCTTCTTGGTGGGAGCCTCGAATTCTGGATTCACCAGAACAAAGAAGAGGCTCCGGTGGTCCGGGAACTTGAGCTGGACCAGATCTAATGGATCGTAGCTCCGGATAAGGACGAAGCCTCCAAGGAGGGATGGGGCCACGTTGTCCGCGTGGTAGCCGGAGACCTTGGACTCCGACTCCAGGCCGGCGAGCACGAGATCCGACGGCGAGAGGAGGCCGCCGAACAGCTCGTTGACGGCGACGGCGGCCGCGGAGGCGCTGGCGGCGCTGGAGCCGAGGCCGCTGCCGAGGGGGAGGCCCTTCTCGAGAGAGAGAGAGAGGCCCACGGATCTGACGCCGAGCATCTTCATGACGGCTATGGCGGCGATCCCGGCGCAGTTCCAGAGGGGGTTCTGGCTGAGCCTGGAACCGGCGCCGGATATGTGGGAGATGGAGAGCTCGCCGGGACGGACGCCGGGGTCGACCCGGATGCTGACGTGGTCTCCGATGCCGTCGACAGCGCAGCCGAGGAAGTCGAAGCCCGGGCCCAGGTTGGCTACGGTTGCCGGAGCGAAGGATTTGACGGAGGAGAAGATGGGTTGGGGATCGGAAGAGGGTTTATTGGCGGAAGACGATAGGGCGAGAGCGGACGGGTTGAATCTCAGTCGGGTTTGAGGTTTTGACGGCGACGAGGCGAAGGAGTTAGAGGAATTCAGCTTTAGCTGAGAACAGCAAATGGCGGCGGCGGTCATTGATGGGGGAGTGTGGAGACCGGCGGCCGCAAGAGTTTGGTTAAGATCTGTTAGTTGGGTTCAGAATTGGGTCACTTTTTCTTGTTGCACAAAATCAGTCTCAAATTAGGAAGGTCTACAAAATAATTAGGCTTGGTCATATAACAGAATCCTTGTCACTAGAATTCTACTGAAAAAATAGCAATGAATTTTCATTGGGCTCTGAGTATCTGTTTTTTCAATATTTTAACAAAATGTCATTCCTCAAAATATTATGGCATTGTTATTCTACTCTAAGAAAAATCGACACAAAATGTCATTCCTCACATTTTTATTCTACTCTACTTTCATATTTGAACAATGAAAATATATTTTAGTATTCATATATTTTATTAAATTTAACCATTACATTTTAATTAGATCGATGTCTTTAAATTTATTTACTTTTTTTATGATATGTAAGAATCGGGGGAAACGAGTACGGTCCCACGCACGTAAAACGCACATAAGCAGGGAAAACTGAAATGAAGCCCAAGTGAGGTTTCATCCTAAAATCAATTGGTGGGACAACAAGCGATATTCTAACATGAAAAAAAAATATATATCTTTACTTCTTTTAAACAATGATTTTTTTTTTTTTTTTCACTTTTTATCTTACTTTTTCCAAAGAAATATTCCTAAAAGTAAACAATTTAATGGCACATAACGACGGCACACGACCCCGTCTAATGCGGTCCATTTTCATCCAATAACCTTTTTTAAGATCTTCATCTCACACTTACCCGCAATTTCCATTCCATAAAAACACTTGAAAACACACTTTACTGCTGCTTACCATTAATCTTTCCATTTCCCCATTTTCCACCACGAAAATCTCCATTCGAACTCCGTTTTCACTGCTACTAAGCTCCATTTTCTACTCTTGAACAGCAGAGGAGCTGCATAGAGTGTCCTGAGCTCTACGTTTATACTGTTTTCTGCAGCAAATCTGAAATATGATGAACGGGTTTGAAAGGGTTTGGATCCTGTGGGTGTGGACTATGGTGATGCTGTGGGCGTGCTCAGGGGAGGAGTACATGAGGTACAAGGACCCTAAGCAGCCGGTTAATGTGAGAGTGAAAGACCTTGTTGGTAGGATGACTTTGGAGGAGAAGATTGGTCAGATGGTCCAGATCGATAGGATTGCCGCCACGCCTGATATCATGAAGAATTACTACATTGGTAATGTGCTGGTCATCTGAACTCATGGTGGTTTGTTTTTTTTTTTGGGGATTTGTGTATTTTCTGGTAGAAAGAGGCTGCTAAGCTTGTCATTCTGTTTTTAACTTTTTGTGTATTTGTTGATTTGTTCGTTTTTGTGTGCGTTCTAGTTTCCTAATGATATTCTCATGCTGGGACAGCCATTCTTAAGTTAGTTGAAGTTGCACTGGCAAGGTGCCGGTGTTGAAGTTGATCCACTTAGGACTTCAGCTGTAGCATTTGCTTTTGCTGTTTAGTACTGTAAGTTGAAGATACTGAAAATGGGTAAATGAAAATGTATTATTGGCAGAGCACCATTATATTATTTGTTTCATTTTTGGAAAATTGATTTCCCTTGTATAGTTTGGTTAACGAGAAGATGGGAAATGTAAGGTGCTTAATTGTGGTTATGAAGGCCTCGAGGGAAGATCCTATTATATATAGAGTAATGTTGCAACTGCAGTTGCAACTCTGCAGGAATAGAGCTCTCGACTTACCACAACTGTGTAGTAGTGTATACAAGCTCATAAGTCACATGGTGAAGTACAGGGGTTTTGATTAGGTTATACACTTCCCAGGCATGCATTGGAATGTCATGGCAACTGTTGTTTTAGGAATGGACACGAGTTTTTTAATATGAATAATTGTGGTAGCAATCGTCTATTTACTTGCTTTTGAGTTTTGGCTTTTGATGGAGTTTGACAAACACTGTGTGCAAATATGTTGAGGATTCATAATTGTGAACAGCTAGTTTTCACGACTGTGTAGAACACTAGAAGGTTTCAATTTATTCACTTTCGTATGTTTTTTCATTATAGCATAGCATTATGGACTACTGTAAACCTCCTCTGCTCTCAACAGTTTCCATCTCGTGTTTTTGCATAATGTTCAAGACGTAAGTAATTAAGTAAACTTACCGGATTTTTAGATTTATGAGTAATAATAATAATAATAATAACAATAATAATAATCTATTTGAAATGGAGAATCATGTCAGTCATAAATTGGTTGAGTTGCCATTTAAGTGATCAAGGATATAACTGAACTTGTCTTTTAGGACTAACTACCAAATACTGCCCTTGAGGTTTAGCTCAACAAAAGAACCATTGGCACCCTCAAGAAAATCTTATTTTCTCTTTCCTTCTTTCTTTTATTTTATTTATCTGTTTTCGATATTGCAGGGAGTCTATTAAGTGGTGGTGGAAGTACACCATCTCCAAGAGCTACTGCCACTGATTGGGTTAACATGGTGAATGACTTCCAGAAGGGGTCTCTATCTACACGTCTAGGGATTCCTATGATCTATGGAATTGATGCTGTTCATGGACACAATAATGTTTATAATGCCACCATATTCCCACACAATATTGGCCTTGGTGCCACTAGGTAAAAGTTATACACTCTTTATGTTCTTGGAATACCAATTAGGCAATACCTAACTTGTTATGTATATTCCAGCAAACCTTTTCTATTCCATGATAGTATTATATTTGTTCGTTGATGAGAGTGTGGTTGCATGTGTGCTTGATGCTTTTTTCGCATATATTTTGAAGAATACAAGTTGTACAACGTTACCATTCTCACTATATATCAAATGCCATTTCTTAGGGTACTTCCTCTTCATGTATGAGTTTTCAATTGCTTATCGAAGGAATGACCTCTTCACATTAAACTGCTTGTTCTTTTTTAAGTCTGAATTACATTATGTAGTTTAGAAGTTCAAATAACAATAAATTTATAAGATAACTACGTAACTGAATTATCTTTCAAGACCACATATATCATCCCTTTACCGTTTTGGTAATATAGAGATGCTCTATATATTTGTGTTTCTTTCACAATACACCGTAATAGTTGTAATTTTGAAATGGAGGAATATGTTTAGGGTATTTGTAATTTCAATAGTTAAATTGGTTGGTATGTAATTAGACTACATGTCAAGAACAAATCTTGCGATCATTTTGGCTTTGAACACGTAATAATTGATATAATCTTGTATGATAGGGACCCTGGACTTGTGAAGAAGATTGGTGATGCCACTGCTACTGAAGTCAGAGCTACTGGAATCCCTTACGTATTTGCTCCTTGCATTGCAGTATGTCCGACTGGGATATACAATTCTCTTAAAAGTTCTGCTTTAACCTGTTTGGTACTTGAGTTCTTGAATGAAGTTTTTGACAGTTCATAATTTTCATGTAAGGTCTGTAGGGATCCTAGATGGGGACGATGCTATGAAAGTTACAGTGAGGATCCCAAGGTAGTTCAAGATATGACAGACATTATTCTTGGGTTACAAGGTGAAATTCCAAATGGCTCGAGAAAAGGTGTTCCTTATGTTGCGGGGAAGTATGTACTGCATATATCTACAATTCATGCATGCCTAGTTTTTGGCGTATGAGCTTGACTTTTGACTTCTGTAAAACTTGTAGTTATTTTTAATCTTGTCCTTTTTCATATAATAAATGAGAACTAATCAAATGATAGTGACTAAACAACTAGTAATTCTTGCTTACTGCTAGTTAAAGAGTAACAATAATGGTGCAACACAGACAGACATAAAGTAGTAAGTTTACATTATAATAATTTTTTTTACTGGAACTGATATTCTTTCTTTTCATTTTTTTTTTTCTTTCTGATCTGAATGTAATATTAAGGACCAATTCTGCAGAAAGTGCTGCTATAGCCCCAAAGATGAGTGTTTTATAATTTACACCATTGTTCTAGGAACAAGGTAGCAGCTTGTGCAAAACACTTTGTTGGTGATGGTGGAACAACAAAAGGGATTAATGAATACAATACAGTGACTGATATGCATGGCCTGCTTAGCCTTCACATGCCTGCTTATTATGACTCTATCATTAAGGGTGTCTCCACAGTCATGGTTTCTTACTCCAGCTGGAACGGCATAAAGATGCATGCCAACCATGATTTAGTCACCGGATTTTTGAAGGGTAAACTTAAGTTCGAGGTTTGTGTTCTGTCTTCTCTTATGTTCATATTGAACTAAGGTGCATATTGCTTTGCAACCTTGAAAGAGGTTTTTAACCGTGATAAGTTGGAAAAACTATGATGTATAAAGTTGTGTCACATAGTATCCAACTTCCACACCATTCCTTTCAGAGAATTGTTTTTATCCATTTTTCCTTTTGTATGCCTGATGTCAATTATTTGTTGCATTATTTTGGTCGTGCTCCTATTTTCGGCATCCTTATGCCGATTTAATTTGAAAACTTTGTCAAAGTTTTGCAAGTCAATTTAACTATGCTAATTTATGTGGTTTTTGTTTATCAGGGTTTTGTTATTTCAGACTGGCAGGGCATCGATCGTATTACCTCTCCTCCACATTCCAACTATACATACTCTGTTCTAGCTGGTGTTCATGCTGGCATCGATATGGTGTTGTATCCTTCTTTGCTCACCTTTTCCACTCTAGCAGATTCTAACAGTTTTTCCCTTCTCTAAGTTCAATTTCATCTAAGGTGGAATCATTTTTGGTTTGCACAGTTTATGCTGCCATTCAACTTCACTGAGTTCATTAATGACCTCACTTATCTGGTGAAGAACAACTTTATCTCAATGGATCGTATTGATGATGCTGTTGAGAGAATTTTGCTCGTCAAGTTCAAATTGGGTCTCTTCGAAAACCCTCTTGCTGATCTTAGTCTGGTCAATGAGGTCGGGAGCCAGGTAGGTTAACTAAGAACCATCACCATCTTTGTGTTTATACTGAATGCCGAATACTTGATTTAACTATAGGCCATCTTTACGTCATCAAACTTTTTACTAGCTAGCATTGTGAAAAAATGACGTTGGGACATTTGATGTTAACAGGCACACAGAAATCTGGCTAGGGAAGCAGTAAGGAAATCGCTTGTTCTGCTGAAAAATGGCAAAACTGCAAATGAGACATTGCTACCTTTGCCCAAGAAAGCGTCTAGAATTCTAATTGCTGGTAGTCACGCTGACAATTTGGGTTACCAGTGTGGTGGATGGACAATAGCTTGGCAGGGATTTAGAGGAAATAATGGGACAAGTGGTAGGTACTTTTTATTGTTTGTGCATATAAACAGTAAGTTCTTCACACAGGACTGATTTACTAATTGAGTTTCTGATCCAGCGTTATTACTTATTGCTGCTTTTCAGAGTATATAATTCTAAACTAGCAAGAAATCGAAAAATTCCTGAAATATATGGAAGCAATTCCAAACTTGTCCTGGACAGCCAATATTATTTATCAAAATAGTGACAGTAGATTGTTTAGCTGTACCTTCATTTTGAACCAAATTATGATTGGCTTATTACTTCATCAAAGCATGAAGAAGTTGTCCTAGTTTACATGATTTGAAATTCTAATCCTTTTCATTCACTGGCAATATCTCATTATCATCAGTGTCCATAAGACTGGTTGTTTTACTTGGATTATTATTTCCAATATTAAATTTCAAGTCCATGTGTCTGATGTTGCTAGAGGTTTTCTGTTTGTTGCACTTCTCAATTAAATATTTATCTCCGAAAAAAAAAAAGAAAAAGGTTTTATTTTCCGTATCCTCTTCCTTCAAAGATCAACACACAAAGCTGCAGAGAGAACCACTTAAAGATGAGGTTTGGCTCGTTTCTTTACAGGGACAACTATCCTTGGTGCTGTTAATTCAGCTGTCAATAAGGACACACAAGTCATATACCTCGAAAATCCCAACAGTGAATATCTGAAGTCCAACCACTTTGATTACGCAATTGTGGTTGTTGGTGAGTACCCTTATACAGAGACTGTTGGGGACAGTGAAAACCTCACGATGGCTGATCCGGGGCCTGATGTCATAAAAAATGTCTGCTCGGTTCTGAAATGTGTTGTCATCCTCATATCCGGTAGGCCAATCGTGATCGAGCCCTATATTTCGATAATAGATGCTCTTGTGGCAGCCTGGTTACCTGGCACCGAAGGCCAAGGGGTGACTGATGTGCTCTTTGGAGACTATGCTTTCACCGGAAAACTCCCGCGGACTTGGTTCAGAACTGTGGACCAACTCCCGATGAATCTTGGCGATTTGCATTATGACCCGCTTTTTCCATTTGGATTTGGGCTCACGACAAAGATGGTGGTTGCAAGGTGAGAAATGCTTGGATATAAGATGTTTTGATTTTGTTTGGATTTTTTGGTTTGGTATTGTTAATTTCGAAGAAGTGTTATGGTTAGTTGTTGGCGGGATTTTGAGTTTATATTATAATAATATTTAAAATAAAATAATTAAAGTTGATTTGATGTAAAAGTATGAGAGATGATGTGAAGTGATGGTTAGTTAAAACTATGTGAGCGGATGAATAGTGAATGAAAGTTGATGTAACGTGTAAGAATGATTAAGTGATATTATTTAATTATATTGATAATTTTGAGGATTGTGGGGTTAAGTTAAAGTTGAGTTAGATTTTGAGTATGGATTGTGATATTTGGTATCCAAACACACCCTTAGATTGAAGTTAAAAAATAAGTGATTGGTTAAAAATGATTGGATTTTTTTTGAAAAAAAATTGTATGCAAGCCTAAAGTTTTGCACGGGAATTATACCTGGCCTGAATATTCAAGTCTTTTATTTTTGGATTTGTGTCTTGTTTACTCTTCTCTTTTCGGGACTTGTGTGTGCGACTCAACTGCAGCCTGGTATATTTGCAAGGAATGTGTTCTCATGTTGATGAATATCTGGATTATTGTATCTGTAATATTTTCAGTTAGAAAGGCTCTGTTAGTTCAATTTATTTTCCTTTTGTTCTTTTAATCTTTGTTCTCTTCTTTTCCTGTTTCTCCTCAACCAAACTCCACAAATTTCATTTATTGTACTGGAAATTTATGAAAGGCCTTGTTGCTAACTGCAGGTCAGTATCAGCTGGTGTCGACAGGAGGCCTTACGAAGCTATCATCATGATTTTCGTGTTCTTTGGTTTGTATTTTCAAGGTAAAGTTTTAGCTTTGGAACTGGTATAGTTCAATGATAGAGTAGTGGAATTAGATACAAGAGCATCCCTCTACAGAACTTCACCTGCTATAATGGACATATTTATCCATGCCATGAATCTGTGGAAGCTTGATTGAACAAATTAGGAAGAAATTGGAGATAAATCAGTTTATGCCCGACTACTAGTTCGATTATCTCTACGCACTTTTTTTTTTTTCTTTGTTAAACAGTTTTCTACGCCTTGCCTGTGATTTGTCAATTATTGAACTAGCTCGCTAGCCGGCAATTTCAGAATGTATTTGAGAATAATGTGGCTGTGTTTGTGANGCCAACTATTGGCTATGCCAAGCCTTTTCTTTTCTTTTTTAATTTTTCCTTGGTTCCCATTTCTTGTAAAATATATTGATTTTCATTTACCATTGTTGTTTTCTTTCGAACACCCACATAAACAGTTAGGAGGAGTTTACCAAGGTCGCATGTGTGCCTCTATGCTAGACGGCTTTGCTCTTTTCTGTTATATCAGCTCCAAAATAGCATGACGACAAGAGGACAGACGGCAAATCCAATTGCGGACTAGTCATTTTTTTCTTTTGGATTGGACCCGGGGTTTGATCCAATCCTCATCTGAATCATACATGAGTCATCCTTGGATTCATTTTTATCCACTCATTAGGCGCTTGAATTATATCTCAGGATAATCACAGTAATTACCAACTTCCCATAGATCGCCCTTGTATGAATAACAACACCTCGAACTACCTTGCCATCTATTTCAGGTCACTATGACCTCATCGAGGTTCCTCCGAGTAGTCTTCTTCATTTTATGTCATTTCTACCTAGACCTCGATCTCATGTGGAACTTTGTCCCTTCTCGGCTTATTGTCCTCAAGTCTCTCCTCGACTCCCTTATACTTAGACTCCGGTTCACCAGTAGGGCTATATTACCCTCCAAGTTATCACCATGTTCGCTGCTTATCATATAAATTGTTTGTTTTCCCAATCCAAACGTCAATATGCAGAATACATGCTGACACAGTGCACCATATTGTTGGACGCATTGCACCTTAATAACTGTTAGATTGCGCAGTATATTTTGTTTACTATATATTAATATGTTTAATAAAAAAATAATATAAAATATTAAATACTAATCATATTTTATAATAAATAATATAATTTATATCGACTATTTTAGTTATGTATGTTAACCGACAAATTAAACACATTATGTATAAATTTTCAATTCAAAATTTTAAATTTGATTTGGATTAGTTGTTTTTACCTTTATTTTTATTTACTATTATAATTATTTTTGTTTACCAATTTGAAATTTTAAATTTCATTTTGGATTAGTTGCTTTTACCTTTAAACCACATATCTATGCACAACATTGTTCACACTTTCCNTAAGAATTATACATGTATTAAATATTCAAAAATTGCAAAATGGGCCTGAGGATTGTCTAATTTTCATGTGAAAAGCCCCAAAATCAATTAACCCTCCACCACACCAAACCGCCCGTCTTCTCCGCACAAACTCACTGCGTCTGACATCAGAGTTATCGGCGGCCACCACGGTGGAATATGATGGAGCCTTTCGCCGCCAGAGACTGTTGCGAGATTAGTGACAGAGTCGAAGCCGGACTTCGCAAACAGTTTATCTGCAGAGCTCGTTCTACGGCGGCTCCTCAGTGGACGCCTCGAGACTCCGAAGTCCAAATTGACAGCGTCGGCGGATAGAAGCCGGATTCCGCGACCCCAGACGGTGTCCATCCCGACGACATCTATCATAGCCCTGGTGATGAAGCGACAGCAACAGCGAGGCTTCGGTGGAGCTGGCATCGAAAATGACTGTATCGGCAGAGCTCGCGTCGGCGGTGAGTTGGTGGCCGGTTTACGGTCGCCGTATGGGATGGGTGTTGGCTGTAGTGCGTGTGTGTGTATTGCAATTGTATGGATTTCTTGGTGTAATTTTTGGTGCTGGGTGTGACGACGGCGATGGGATGTGGTGGGGCAGTGGTCACGATGGCCAGCGAATAACCGGTGCCGTACGAATAACCGATGGCCGGAATGTGTGGTGTGTGTGTAAATGTGTGTGCGTCTGTGTGTAATAGAGAGAACTTCAGGGATGGTGTTGTGAGCCCCAGGAGAGAGATTGGGTTGTTAGTTGGTGAAGTGAAATTACACCACTACCCTCAAAGTTTACCAAAGTTTACCAGCAGACGAAAATTTATTACATAATTACAAAATTGCCACCGTGTGGTTAATGCTGGTCAGCTTTATCTCACCCATCAATTTGGACTCATTCTCATTTCTTTTATTATGCCCTATTATCATATGATCCCATCTCTATCTCTATATATATATAAAGAAGCTCAGTTCAGTTTAGAGAGAACGAAAGTCGAGCAAATAACAAAACCTATTAGCAAACAGGCAAACATACACTAATCTCATGTATTGTCACCAAAAATCCAATCCATGAAACTGGAGCACACAATTATTTACACCAAGTAGGAGGACATGAGATTCCAACTGATTTTCATGTGAGAAGGCATTGAGGCCACGAAACGTAGCACATCCTGTCTCGAATCACACACGGGACCCGCATGGCGTTGCATGTGGTGGAGCTCGATAAACTTGGCCACATTCGGCAGTACCATCTCCCGGCAATGCAAATGCAAAAGGGGAACTTTAGACAACACACTGCCTTTCTGAACATCCAAACCCTCAGGCCTCTTTAATCTGTAAGGCTTCCCACTCGTTGGCTCAAAATCGACTCTCGGCATTTGTTTCCATCGATTATGGACAAACCACCCATATTTGTGGTCCCCCACTATTGGGGTACCAAGAGCCTCAGCACAATGAACTCGAAGCTGGAATAACAAAAGTACAAATAAAAATCATATAATGATGATGATAATAATATTGTCCATGTCCGTGCAGTGAATCTCTTAACTTCATTCATTGCATAATACAATCAAATTCAAATAAAATATAGTATGCAAAAAATAAACGAGTGTGCATGTATAGTTAATTCCATGAACCTGATGTTTATGTTTCGTGAGGGGATGCAATTCGATCCACGAACATCCATTGATAGTAGGGCCAAGCACACGATACTCGGTTATTGCCTCTTGGGAAGCTTCCAAGCCTGAATTATGAGATAGAATGACCCTTTCGGTTTCCCCATCATCAAGAAGGACCTGAGAGCAGCATTTGTTTTTGGGTCATAGCATGATATTTGAGAGTGTTATTATGTTTTAGCGGCAAAAACCTTTGTGAGTGGGGCACAAATTGTGCCTTCTTTTTGCTTGGGTACACCAATGACCAGTGCCCAATACTTTTGGTACATTGCCTTACAAGCATCATTCCAATCCTTGAACCAACACAAAGAGAGAGAGAGAGAGAGAGAGAGAGAGAGAGATTAAAGGAAAAATATCAGCAAGACCATGACTTACTTGGAGTTCTAGTTGCAATTTCTTCAAATTTCACCTCTCAACTAAAAAATGCATAAACTCCCTAACATTTCATTTACAAATTCGAAATCGCTTTTGGATCTAAGGGAATGCAGGTTTTGCTTGATCAATCCAAAACAAAAGTAGATTTGGTTGTCGACAATCGTGGCTTCATTTTGAATGAAAATCAATTTCTATTCAAATGTATCAACAGAGATTTTAATCTGATTACAAATAATAATAATAAGAATAACAGTAATAATAATAATTTTTTGTTACTTTCAAATTACAACACAAGCCCGCTGATATCTATTATAATTTCTATAGTTTAAAGTGAACTCTGCTTCATTGATTAAGAAACTAGTGTGAATTTAGAAAGATAATATGATCCCTCTGTAAGTAGGCACAGACATCAATGGTCATTTCTGTACTTATTCCTAACCTTAGACAAGGGTTTCGCCTTTCTCACATCACTGAACAACCAATGGAGGTAGGAAATGCTCTCTTTAGTTCTTCCCATTAGGAGGAGCCCACTACTCTCTCTGTCAAGACGATGCACCTTTAAACAAAAGGTCAGTTATAGGGAACACGGCAGATGCATATATATACACAAATCAAGCAATCAAGACAGAAAACAGAAAAAATAGCAACCGAAAGATGGAAAAGTAATAAAATTTACCAACTTCGGACCCTCTTCGTAATCATATGATAATGCAGCAGCTGCCAATGCATCCATGCTGTTGTGAACTGCCACACTACCCTGTTCTCACATTCCATGTGGTTAGCATCTCTAAAGGAAAAAGACTATCCATAATTATATTAATTTTAATGGTGCTTACTTTTACTGGCAGTTTGGGAGGTTTATTCAGTACAAGTATAGCAGAGTCCTGGAAATTGCAGCCGTAGAATAATTAGTTATGGTACACAACAGAATCATAGTTACAGAAGCACAAATGTTTTGGAAGTCCCCTGAATCACAACTCGCGAGGTACAAACTCAAGCTCAATGCACTTATTATATAAATATGAAAGTCATTAACTTTTGAAGACCCATCAATCCAAACGAAGAGTAACAGAATTGGACGAGAAAGACGTAACAATAATTAGCTACTATAGGAGTGGAGCTTATCATGTAATTATGATCTAAAAAGAAATCATGTAATTATGATCCAAAAAGAAACATGCCTTGTACTTTACGAGCCTTCTTAAGTACTCAATTTCATCTGCATTTGGGTTCAGTGTTCCACTCGGGATAACATCAAACCTCTTTGAAATTTTACTTTCAGCAACAGATACCGGGACATAAACTCGGTCACCCTCCTCCATGACATCACTAGGATTAATCTGCACATAACTGTTACAGATGTAAGGAGAAGCAATTTGAATCTGAAGTAAGCATTTGAATTCAGTCCACAAGATACAGAATTTAGCATTTACACTTTTTTTTTTGCTTTTAAGTTAATGAGCTGACTCCATAAAGGACATTATTTGAGACTTGGGAAAGGAAAATTATATTCATCTCAACTATAGTCGAGAATAAATAAGTTTGAGCAAACACTAAAGTTGTCAATGGAAACATTGTTACCTTCCTCATGGAAGCGGATCGACCTTGGTAACATTCCATCTGTACCTGTTAAAACCCAACAAAATGTTACTATTCACGTTTTTCATACTTAAAATGACGTCTGCTTGCAGTAATTTATTAGCTCCATTAATAACAGAAACATTTTTTGTTCACTGCATTCAAGTCCTGCGAAGTTGCTTGCATACCAATATTTTAAACCAACCGTATGGACGATTTCACTCAGCGTAAGTGAAAGAACACATCAACAGGCCAAAGAAAAACCATAACTCAGGTTCCAAATAGATAAATGAGACAGGCCGCAGAAAAGGGAAAAAACGCAAAAAGAAAAAAAAAACCTTACAAGGCCTTTATTGAAATGATTCTGAATGGCGGGAGGAGGGATGTCGTCAAAATAATACTTGAGCCAGCTAATGGCGGTGACGTGTTGGGTGGAGGCTGATTTCCTTCCGGGCAGATGGTGGCCCGGGAACGGGGGCAAAGACAGCAGCTGGCAGGGTTTCGGGCCCTCTTTCGGGTGGCCCAAATGAGATATGTGATTCGTTACTCGGATTACGACCCGGGATGGCGGCGGCGGGTGGATCTTTGCCCTCGGTTTTCGCCGGACCGCCGAGAGGGCTTTCTCATTCAGGAGCCTGTACCTCATAGAAACTGTCACGCCCCATTATTTATAAATAAGGAATATTGGTTTTTAAGAAAATTTTCTAACTTAAAAAGAAATATTCATTTTTCCAGTTTAAACTAAACGAATATTACTTGAAAAATATTCTTTCTGTCAAGACAAAAATAAACATTTTCAAAATAACGTGTTACGATTAATCAAACCGTAATTTATACATCGAAATTGAATTTTAAGTTACATCAGAGTTTGCAAAAATATAAAATCATAACTAAAGTAGACCACGCCCGTCCGCTCGTGTCCGCCGCCAGCTCGATAATCTGAAAAACAAAGGGGTGAGCACAGTCTCTCGGCTCAGTGGTAAAATTCATACTATGCATCGATTCAGTATAAATGGATAATAATCATATGAACATGCAAAACTTACTGTCACTGCTGACTGATTTCATCCGGCTTCAAGCCTCCAGGTAAATTCGGACTAGTGACTCTTATTTCAAGCCTCCATAATTTACCCGGCTAATTAGCTATTATACGCTGTTAACCTAAGTTCATGAACGTTGGTATGGTTACTTACTAGTGCATTCGGCATCAACCGATCCCGCTAATAAATAACTCTACTAGTGCCATTGGCATTACCCAGTCCCGCTAGTAGAAAACTTAACTGAATAATTACCCGGCCTGATGACTCTTATTTCAAGCCGCCATGGTAAAGTTCACATCACCCAATCGGCCCACCGGCCCACACACATGCATATAAAAACTATACTACTACATGTTTATAAAGAATAAACCATAGTATAGAACCCCCACCTGATAACCGATGAAGTGAGGAAAAAGTGCAGATGAAGAGTAGCTGATGTCACTCGGAACAGCTCTCGAGATTCGACTCCTCAAAATCTACGTTATAAATATTTTTCTCTAATTAATAAAAGGTGGCAACAAACAGACAAACAAAACAGGCAAACAAAAACAGGCAAGGACAATTAAAATACATAAGGCAAAAAAATCAGACAGGGCAATCAAATAAAACAAATAAAACTTCTACGGCTTAACTGGACTACTCTCAAGTTCTTGAAAATTCTAACTTAGGCTCAGAATTTCTAACTGAACTGGCACGAGCTTGGTCAAACTAGATTGACTTAGGAACTCTGAACATAACACAAAAACGTCACAAAAATAACCATGTAACAATAGCCTTAACCTAACAATTATAAGCAAGGCAATTTACATAAAACATGCGCCTCTTCTTGAACCGAAAACTCTTGATTCTCGTATAGCACTAAAGTCGCAATTAGCTGATTCAAACATTTGCTAATTAAGCTCAAATACAATTACAAAACATAAAACTACATAATGAACTTAGCAACACATGGTTTAAAATACCCAAAGGAAAAACAAGGCAAAATGGCACATAAATTTTGATCTCTTTCCTTTTCAAATTAAACCTGTTAGGGCTGGTATTTAGACACCTAAACAACCAACTTCCAGCAAATAAACCATCCCCACAACAGGTTCAAACATCACGGCAGAATAAAAAAAATAAAAATAAAAATAAAAATAAAAAATCATAACATGGCAACGCAACAACAACACAAACATGCTCTCTCTTATGAACTCTAAACATATTTCAACCCTGATTCTCAACTACAACTAACATGACAAAACTTAAGTTTCCAGCTCATATCTCATGCCAGACGGCTCAATTTATCATTGAAAATCAAGGCATACACATCACAATAAACCTGTTTCACTCTCTAAAATTCTAAGCATGATTCGCATTCATATAAAACTGAAATCAAGCACATAAAAGCATAGGATTTCGGCCAACAAAAGCACAAAGGGGCTCAGCCAATATACCTTTCTCGGTTAATAAAAAGAAGGAAGAAACTGGGGCTACGATGCGCTCGAAAAAGCTCGACTTGCTGCAGCTCTCCTCCCGGGTGTCACTTGATCTGCTCGGTACTCGCCGGAAACTCGCTCTCAGCCTGCTCTCGTCCGCCGGCAATCTGGTAGCCTCGGCTCGCCGCGAAGGTCACAGTCCCGTCGGATTGGTTCTGGCCTCTTCGCCGGAAAGCTGCTACTCAAGGTCGTCGGGAAGTCTACTGCTCGATTCCTTGCCGGAAAACGCTTCGCCGCTGATCTGGTTGTCAAAGAAGGCCGCCCTCGTCGTCGGACGTCTGGTGATGCTCGGTCGGGTGCGGCTTCTCAGGATCGCCGGCGCTGCTTAGTTCTATTTGCCGCCGGAAATCTGCTGATGGCCGTGAGAGAGAGAAGGTGGGATTTTGGATAAATTTTCGAATGGTACTGCAAATTGGGAAAATAGTTGAGAGGCGGCTGAATTTCTTGAGATTCTTAAATAGGGGTACGGTAGACTAATTGGAGTGGAGAGTCGTGAGGGAGAGCTGCCGAGATTCATGGAAATTGTTGGAGACTTCAAATGAGGTTGTATTTTCGCAATAAATAAAGAATAGGTACCAAAATTATAATTAGCCCATAGTACAAGTACTAAAATAACAATTACTCTATATATAATGAGGTTAACCTTCCGGGCCTTGTAATAGTCGTGTTGCTGGGCTGGCTGTGTTCTATCCTCTCGTTCACTACATATACATACAGTTTTATATAAAGGTAGAAATTTGATAATGATTCATTTTTTATTCGTTGTTCTTCCCCAATTTGAGTAGAAACCAGATAAAACCCTACATTTTCCCCACTGTTAGCAGTACTTTTCTGTTTGTCTTTCTTGTTTCATCTTCGCGTGAGTACGCATTTTCCTTCTGCTCGACTTTCTGCTTCTTTCAGGTGATGTATGATAAATGTTATTGGTTTATCGTTGCTTTTATAGACTTGAAAATCGACTTCATTTTCTTAATGTTCATTAAGTTCGCCCTTTTTTTGGTTTATACTGAGCTTTATTGATGTTGTTGTTGTGGTTTTTGAAATTCTTCTGAAATTCCGATTCGATTTACATTGGATTTATGACCTGTTAATATAGTGTGCTTGCTTTATTAACGGGACAGACAAGAATGGAATGGGAATTGAGAAATATTCCATGAGGGAAAAAGGATAAGATAGTTATGTGTCTGTATTCAGATGTTTGGGGAAAGACCTTCGCAACTCTTAACTAGTATATGTTTAGTTATAAATGGGGTGAATTTGAAATATAGAGTAATAGAATGCCAGTATTTTCTTTTCTTCTCGTTATGTGATCAGTCTTGATGGTCGTTAGCGTATGGATGACTCTGGACGATGGTGTAATGTATACAAGCCATGTTTGTTTCTGTCATTGTGTAATTGAGGCTGGCTTAGTTGGAATTTGACTGGTGTCACATTGTCTACTATCATTTCAGAGAGCTAAAAGTTTAATACTAAGAAAATACGCCCCTTGCCCAGCAGACTTATATTGTATTCTATGTTGTAGATTTGGCTAGCAGGGCTCTATATGCTCAAACTATACTGTTTATTGAGTTTTGTGCTCTGGCTACTTTATTAGCTTTGGAATCACAAAACAAGAAAAAAAAATTGGGTCCACTAGCTCTTAGTCCTAGTTCAGCTACTGTGTTAATAGGTAGGGTGAGCCCTTTCTCTCAACAACATGATGTGCATTAGCTTCTTCTTGCTCTCCTTCTCTCTTTGCTTGCTTTATTTGTCTGGTTTTTGTATATCATGTCCGTAATGGCTAGAGCTTCTGTGTCTATCTATTCCTTTCCTCTTATAAAATTTCTTTAAGAATTTAGCATTGATTTATTTAGGGTATCATACTCAGTGTTCATTATTTTTACATTATGGTTCAGGGATTTAATATTCAAATCTATATACATGTGTTGGACTAAGCAGATATTGCACGCCTAATTAACATATGCTTCCAGAACCAGGATATTACGTGGTTTACTAGTTCCTTATTTATTGGAGCAGTTACAGATATATATCAGTTGTAGATGACCTAGGAATATTAGGCTGTCATACCCTTGTACTTCTTTTTATATATTTGAAAATTTGAACTATCATTAATCTACCTCCAGTGACCAGTCACTTAGCTGGTTATGTTTACTGTACATATATTTACACTTTCAAAGGCCATACTTCAGTTAGTTGATTTGAAAACGGGCATAAATGATAGAACTTTTGGCTACAGTAATACCTCTTTCAAAAGCCTTCAATTTCTTGGGTTATGATTGTTGCAATTTTGTTACTCCTCCATTAATGGATGGCACATTTTGATTGTATTGGCAAAGAAAAAATGCTCAGTGGATCAAATAGCAAGCTTTGAGCTTTTGAATGTCACTGTGTGCATAATTGTTGATGCTGCTTTACTTTGTACTTTTTCTATGCAGATCTCATCTCATGGCTGACCTTGATCAGAATTTTGAACTTGAACAAGCTCATGAACGTGAATACCAACCAGAACATGAACTTGTGCATGAACACGAAAATGAAGTCGAGGTTGAACAAGTACATGAACCTGAGCAAGAACCAGTACACGAGCACGAGCTCGAACAAGTACATGAACACGAGCTTGAACAAGCACATGAACACGAGCTTGAATTAGCACATGAACATGACCAACGGAATGAGCAAGAAGATGCAATACCAGAGAACTTGCATCCCGATCAAAATCAGGACATTGTGGATGAGCCAGTTGCAGGAGGTGTTGAAAAATGGCCTGGATGGCCTGGAGAGTGTGTTTTCAGGATGTTGGTACCTGCACAGAAGGTGGGAAGTATAATTGGACGTAAAGGAGAGTATATAAAGAAAACATGCGAAGAGACGAAAGCACGGATTAAGATTCTTGATGGTCCTGCTGGAATGAGAGAAAGAGTTGTAAGTGATTTTTTTTATGTGTTTTGCATCTAGATACTGCATTTAACAAGGATGGTTATATGTCAGAGATGACGATTCAATGTGTGTTTTTGTAATGTGAATTTTGTTGCAAGTGCATCAATAATTTGAGAATAAACTATAAGTGTTTAGGACTAAACTTATCGGCTCTTCTCACCTATGTTTCATTTGTGGCTAAGGTGATTTATTAGTTATGCATTCAGTACTTTCGGAGAACCTGGAGACTAATTTGGTGTAAACATCTGGAAGAATATCAGGATCATTAAATAGCAAACACGTAGTGCACTTCTTATTCATGTACAGCCATTTGTTTCAACTCAACTATGACACTGTTCTCTCAGTTAGTGCTTGTAAGAAACAAATTGAGAAGTTTAGTTGGTTATCTCAACACTAGATGCCTAAGCACAAATGTCCTGGATTTTGCAATTCGCTGTAAGTGTATTACTGGTCTTCTGTATTTCCTCTAGTCCTTAGTTGATTGACTTACTGGATTTTGCAATCCTCTTTTAGTGTATTGCTGGTCTTCTGAATTTCCCTTAGGCCTTAGTTGATTGATTTACTGGATTTTGTTCATACCATGACCCATCATTTAAGAAATATATTGTAGACAGGACTGCAGCATGTCCTGGCTTGAAAACCCAAATTAGATGAAGTCTCTGATTATTTTCTGACTCACTTATGATTAGCCTCTTGAAAATTTCTGCTACTGTAAACTTTTTCATTGTTGATAATAACCATTGACATTGGAAATAATATTGACTAGCACAAGGGGTTTTGTTTCATGAAAATAGATTAAGTTTGGCTAGTGTGGATCATAAATGATGCAATTATCTATAAAGTTTGTACTCTTAAGCTTTAGCTTTTACAATAAGTAATGAATATGTGACTTGTCACTGGGTGCAGGTTATGATATCTGCTAGAGAAGCTCCTGATGCAACGCTTCCTCCAGCTGTGGATGGTCTTCTTAGGGTTCATAAACGCATTTTCGATGGTCTGGAAAATGACTCCTCTCATCCTTCATCAGGTTCAGGAGGAAAGGTCTCGACGAGGCTTCTCGTTCCTGCAGCTCAAGCTGGTAATGTGATTGGAAAACAAGGCACAACAGTCAAATCCATTCAAGAAGAGTCTAACTGCATTGTTAGGGTTCTTGGATCAGGTTCTTCTCTCTGTCTTCGTCACCTGTTACATGTGTGCATATTTGATCTTTTAAGAAATGTCTGGTGATGTATTGCTGCAGCTCTTAGTGATTACTCCATTATCTGTATTTGCTTATATATTCAATTTTTTGGCATGACATGGCAGAAGAGCTACCAGTTTTTGCCCTTCAAGATGATAGAGTAGTAGAAGTAGTAGGTGAACCATCTTGCATCCTTAAGGCTATTGAACTGATGGCATCCCATCTGAGGAAGTTTTTGGTTGATCGGAGCATCATACCAGTAATTGAAATGCTAGTAAGCTTGCTTTTTTNGCTGAAATCCCGCCTCCTTTGGAAAAACAACCTCATCAGGGGATATCTGCTTATGGAAGAGAGGCTCCAATGCCGGTGCATTCGTCTTCTGGTCAGGCAGCTTCTTCGGTGATCACTCAGGTTATCCTTTTTTTTTTTTTTCCATATTGGTTTTTATCAGTGTTGTAAATTGAAAACATGGAATATCAACCCAGATTCAAGTTCAAACCAGGAAATATGAAATCCTTCAGATATAAATTTGCTGATACTATTTGTTTCAGCATCACTTGAAGCAGACTTACTGTTTTATATTTGATTGAATTGTCTTTTACAAAAATCTTAGTCTTGCAAACTAATATTTTGCTTTATTTTCCCAGTAATTGAGTCACGTTTTTAAGTGATATCCCAATTAAAAGGCCTGAACGATGATTGGGGGTTTTGTAATCAGACTAAATGAGAGGATAGCATTTTTGAAGTTCCTCAGCGGAAAAATATGTGCCGTCTATTGTGGCTATTGTTTGGGGTCCATATAAACAGGCTTTGTTAGTGACTGTGTTGGGCCTCTCTTAATAGACACTGCCCTACAATTCCAATTTAATTCATGTAGTCTAAGGTATATAATCATAATCATTAAGGTGGTAAGACATCCTAGGCCCCTCCAGATGACATTCTTGTTTCTGCTGGGACAGAACTTCATATAGTTGTTCTTAGCCATAAGTTCTAATGAAGTGTCTTGTCATGTTCGTGTTCGGTATATAATTGGAGTTCATGAGCTTTCAGGTCACACAACAAATGCAAATTCCACTCTCTTATGCTGATGCTGTAATTGGTACACAAGGTTCAAGCATAAGTTACATTCGGCGGGTGAGTGGTGCTACAGTCACTGTACAAGAAACAAAAGGAGTTCCTGGGGAAATGACAGTTGAGATTAGTGGAACTGCTTCTCAAGTCCAAACTGCTCAGCAGCTGATTCAGGTAACCTTGTATGCTCTGGCTTAAGGATCAATCTTCTAACTTCTAAGCCTTTTCACTTTCGTTTTTCTGTCTTTTTTTGATTTATTTGAGCAGATATCTTGATTTGAGTGCCCAGTTGTAACTTTTTTAGCTGATAAATGCTATATGGTCTTTTGTAAATTGTAATTGAAAATATCCAGTGTTCTGTTACATTTGAATTTTTATTAAGAACTATGTTTTCTCTTCTTCGTATGAAGTGTATGAAATGCTTTCTTAATCTTTTTAGGTGGGGAGAGTTGCTAAAGTATGAATGTGTGATGCATTAATTATTATGTCTTTTTTCCTTTGTTATTTTCTTACATTTTCTTGATGGAATCATTCGTAATATTCCTGATTAAGTTATGAATGTCTGTTTAATGGCAGAATTTCATGGCTGAAGCTGCTGCAGGCCCTCCTCAGACACAACATACTCCAATAGCCGATTACAACTCTTATCCTTCTAATCCTAATCACGCGCCCCAAACAGGTGGTTATAGCTCAGTTTACGGAACCAATTATGGCTAATAAAATGTGTAGTGTCAGTTCTCCTTAGACTTATAAACCTGATGATTTCATTACCAATTGGCCAGCAAAATGCTTTAATTTCGTAATTGATTACCTTATTTAGTAAAAGTAGACATTGTTGTGATAGAAACTATTCAGTCACATTTAGATCCAGCACGGCTGATTTTTGTTCCACATTTTTCTTTTCCGTGTACGAGATGTTTTATTGCGGATAAAAGGGTGTATCTTATTTTATGCCTGATGCATATAATGTTGACGACTA